CACCGCCGCCTCCGCCACCACCGCCGCTCCCACCTCCACCGCCACCTCCACCGCCGCCTCCACCGCCCCCACCTCCCTCCTTCCCGCCCTTCTTGCCACTCTTGCCCCGTTTCTGCCAGTCTGCGGCAGAAACGGCAGCGGTGTCCTCAGAGACCGACACAGCAGCAGAAGCGCGGGTAGAGGTGAAAGTGAGAAGCTGAGGGGCGGCACACCCCGCAAAGAGACGGGGGGCCACCGCATCAGTGGCGGAGGCAACGGTGAGGAGGCTGCTCTCGATGGTCCCGAGCGCAGTCTGAAGGAGGTCTATAGTGAGCTCAGTGGGGTGCTTCTGAAGAAGCGCGTCGCGGGCAGTGGCAAGGCGGTCAGGGAGGCGGGTGACTAACCAGTGCACAGTGAGCCACATGGGGGGGGGAGCAACAAGGAGCTGTGCGTCGATACAGGCCGCACGAAAACCGGCGTCAAGCGAGCGGAGGTGAGTCACTAGGTCGGAAACAGTCGCAAACGAGCCTAGGTCGGGAAACACAAACGGCATGAGGAGGCGACTGAGGGAGGCAGAGGAGGGGGTGGAGTAGCGGGCAACAATAGCATCCCAAACCCCCTTGGCTGTCTCCACCTGGTCAAAGTGGGCGGCCTCGGTCGGGGGGAGAAGCTCCGACAGTGTGAGAGCGGCGGCAGCGTCACGCGAGAGCCACACGTCCCTGGCCAGGACCCGACGGTCGTACTTCGCCTGGGCCGTAGGGGTCGGCTCCGGGGTGGTCGGCAGGGCGGCGGGGGACGGAGGGGCCGGTAGGACACCAGACGCGTGAGCCCACAGAGTGGCGCCGTCCTGTCGCTGGCTGGTGAGGAAGCGCGTGGTCTGGCGCTGCCAGGTGCCGAACTCTATCGGGCGTCCCTCCGCGTCGAAACGGAGGCGACGCGACTCCATAACGGATGTCATGCTAGAGGCGGCTGGAGCACGGCGGAGGCTGAGCTAAGAACGAGGAGGAAACCTACGGAGCGCCAGGAGGGAGAACGGCGGAGTGAGAGGCTAGGAGCACTGAGTGACCTAGGCTAGGCGTGAAACGGAGGATCTCCAGCTACAACGGCTAGGGGCGCGATACGAGCGGCTAAACGGCTCGAACCTAGGCGGGCGGCGAGAGAGAGCGGCTGCCAGCCGCTAGGTGATAGACCAGTGTCAGTAGAGCTGGGGAGGGCCCCGCGCACAAGGCGGTGGCGGGGCTAGGGCGCGTGCCAAGGGTGGGTAACAGGAAGAGAGGGGCGGGGGGGGGGGAGTTTGCGACGGTGGAAATGGGCGGGGAGGGCGGTTTTGACGGTGGGAATGGGCGGGAGGGCGGTTTTGACGGTGGGAACGGGCGGGAGGGCTGTTTTGATGGTGGGAATGGGCGGGAGGGCGGTTTTGACGGTGGGAATGGGCGGGGAGGCCGGTTTGACGGTGGGAATGGGCAGGGAGGGCTGTTTTGACGGTGGGAAAGGGCGGGGGGAGGGCGCGACGGGGGGAAATGGGCGACGGGCAAGGGCTGGGGCGTGGGCGACGGTCTAGGGCTGGGGCGTGGGCGACGGGCTAGGGCTGGGGCGTGGGCGACGGGCTAGGCGCGGAGGGCGAGGGGCAGGGCGTACGGGCCGCGCGTGGGCAACGGGCAGGGCGCACGGGCTACGCGCGGGCTAGGGGCAGGGCGCACGGGCGTCGCGACGGGCCGGGGCAGAGCCTCCGGGCTACGCGCTGGCTAGGGGCAGGGCGCAGGGGCGCCGCGACGAGCTGGGGCAGCGCCTACGGGCTACGCGCTGGCTAGGGGCAGGGCGCACGGGCGCCGCGACGGGCTGGGGCAGAGCCTACGGGCGTCACGCGGGCTAGGGGCGTGGGCTAGGCGCGGAGGGTGCAGTGGCGCGGTTTAGGCGCGGAGGCACAAAGGGTGCGGAGGTGCGAGCTAAGCGCGGAGGGCGCGGAGGGCGCGGAGGGCGCGAGCTAGGCGCGGAGGGCGCGGAGGGTGAACACTAGGCTAGGAACGGGCTAGGAACGGTCTTGCTCGTGATACCATCTCAAGAGTGGTTAGCAACGGAATGACTTGGAATAGAAACGAATGGGGTACAAATGAGCAACCCTAGAAGCTGTACCCCCTAGAGTGCAACTCACTACAGCCTATCATATCAATGTTCAACATTTGACAGTAACTCTGAGTGACAGAGTTCAGAGAAGGGTGCACTCTGACCCATCAGAGTGCCCAAAAACGAATCTAGGGGCCTGGGTTCCACCTCTATTGCAAGCTTAAAGCTAACACACTTCAAGATGCCCACTTTATTTCTAAAGGCCTACCTTTAATCATGTCCTGAACTACGGTACCAGATGTAGGTACCCGTGGGTGGGCTGTGATTGTAATTAGGGCAAAATAGTACCAGTGTCGTACTTGACTCCCCTGCGGCACCTTTCACGCATGCTGCTGGCAAAGAGCACTCGGGTGGTGCCTGATGGTACCGCAATCTTGTAGCGCCCCACCCACGTGGTGCTGTGCAGCATGATGGCAATGGTGAAGTTGCATGTATCGAATTGCTTCTTATTGAGAGCAGCCACGACGTCATTGGGGAAGCCCCACCACTTGAACACTGCCACGCGTGCAACATCAGGTGATGGAGGGGGGGCAATCAGACAAGGCATAACAAAGCAGCTTTTGAGGCGCCTCAAAAGCCACAACGTCATTGGGGAAGCCCCATCACTTGAACACTGCCACGTGTGCAACAGCAGGTGAGGGAGAGGGGGCAATAAGAAAAGGCATACCAATGCAGAACGCGTCCAAAAACATGCAGGCAGGCAAGCTGACAGGGACACAGAAGCAGAGCAAGTGTATGGGTGAGAGGACAGGCACACGCATGGCACGGGCATGCACAATTGGATGAAAAGCAGCAACTTCCCAAAGGAAACTTCAAGGCCCTTGTAGCTGAGGGATGTGGGACTCACAGCTCACATGGCTTCCTGACAGCATGCCATGTCAGCATGCCATGTGCACAGGATACACCCAGCAAAAAAGTCGCACTGATTTCAGAATCTGAAAAGCGAACCCGTTTGCCCGAAAACAATAAGCTTTCCCCACAGCTGGAAAAAGGATAGAGCGGGCAGGTCTGACCAAAAGTGTCCCCCACATGCAGCACGGGCCTCTTCCACCCCCGCATGCTCCACTCGCTCCATGGACTCACGCCCCCCTCTCCCACCACCACTAGCTTCGCCTGCTCGGGAAAAGAAAGTGTGTGTGTGTGTGTGTGTGTGTGTGGTAGCAGGCAACAACAGCAGCGCATCGTGACGCAGCAAATAGTTTCAGATGAACCATGAATCCAGAGGGTTGAAGAAGAGCATGCGCGTCAGATATCACCGCGTCAAGTCCGATATTCTCAGGCGCTTCACACCATGCATCCTGTCACCGCGTGCATACCTTGGTCATTGATGGCACTGCCGAGATTACAGCCACATGCAGCAAATGGTGGAGGCACGGGAGCGAGGCATGGGAACGAGGCACCGGCAGGAGGAACAAGGCATGGGAGAGAGGCACGGTAGTGAGGCTCGGGGGTTGAGGTAAAGAAAGATGCATGGCGGGGAAAGGGCGGTGGAGTGCGGGACGCATGGGGAAGGAAGGAAGGCATGAGTTGGAGATGGAAGTTATAGAAATCCTCTGGATGGACTTGGAATACGGTGCATTCCTGGCATGATAGCCACTGATTGTATAGCACCTGGGCGAACGACAGTACAATAGATTACCTGCAAATACAAGAAAGACTGTCAGGACCAGCGCAACGGGACCCAGTCGCGAGTGCGAGAACAAGACCGCCATTGCAACGCGTCGAGCGCGGCTTCCAAGGGAGTGACACTGACGAGTCGCACCTTCAGAGCTTTCTAAAGTTTTCTTTTCCGCATTCAAGGGTCGTCAAGAACACAGCCGCAAGCTTTCATACGGATCTCTGCCGCCATGCTCGCCAAGAGCACCGCCCTTATACGCGACTGTGAAGGCTAAACCCGTGACGCTGCGGGAGAGAGTGAGCGCAGAGCCGCCAGAGCAATCTGGTTTGAGAGGGAATAGGTGGCGGCGGATAGCCGTTGGTCGGCGCGCTAACGTCGGCCCCATCGCGGTGGACAGTCTCGTCCTTTGCGCGACTTGCCATGGCAAGTCAGCGACGGGAGACCTGGCATTGTTTTCTGCGAATCACCCGTTTCTGTTCGGGTATTGCAGCAAAAGGTTCAAGGAATAGTTGCGTTCCCAGTAAGCGCGTGCTAAGCGAAAGGGGAACGGGAAGGAAGCTGGTAGGCGCGTGCTTAGCGAAGCGAGACCGAACTTCTGGAACCGGCACATATTCCCTAGGAAGCAAGAACTGCTTTTGATTGAACGAACGCAGCACACGTGTGCGAGCACGTGTGGCGCCGTCGCGACGATAGGTCTAAGGAGCAACGCGTCGCTCGCTGCGAGGAAGGCAAGAACGTCGGTGCGGTCGGCGAATGGTGGACCAATGGGATTGGTGGCGTGCAATGGGGGAATGTGCGAGCTGCTGGCGCGTGGCAGAAAGATGAAGGTCGAGGGAGGACGCAATAGGGTGGGGAAATGAGAAATGCTAGAGGTCAGGAAGGACTCTATAACACATACAAGTATCCACTGCTAGTCTTCGAAACGCATGGAACCTTGCAGCAAACTTTCGGCACTACGAACGAAGTAACCACACGTGTCATACTCACGTGCGATAACCCACAGGTTGCGGAATCGATTCCTCGTCGCAAAATGTGTCGCATAATCTCGCAAAATGTATCACGCAGTAACCACACGCTTCGGCCATAAAGGCTCGGTTCCAAACTGCGGTTTGCAAGTCCACGGGACTTGAACCCGGGTCTCTCGTGTGAGAGCGGAGTATCGTAACCGACTAGACTACAACGGATGGAGACGATTTCACTTAGTATGTAGTTGTACGCTACTAAACGTCCCGTAGAGGTGTGTGTGTCGACCAGTGCTTTGAGCAGTGAGTGAGCAGCGATGGCGGGCATGGGCGATGGATACGTGGGCACGGCGGCGGACTCGGCGCGGATTCGGCGGCTGGAGAAGCAGCGGGAGGAGGAGCAGGCGAAGATGGAGGAGCTGCGCAAGAAGTCGTCGCAGGGCCTGCAGGGGCTGCTGCAGTTCGGCACCGCCACGTCCGAGGTGCGCCCTCCGCGCGCGCCTCTCCCGTTATAGAGTGCGCGTAGCTGCGCGCTGCGCTCCGCGCACGGCTCCCCCGCCACAGTACCCGTCTAGCTGCCCTGGGTCGGAGCTCCCAATGCAATCTAGGTGTCGCGGCTGCGACCAAGTAGTACGAGCTACGAGCCCTAGAGGTTTGCGGTAGGAGGTCGCAGAGTACGGCGAGGAGACGCGGAATTCCTGTCCCCTTTGCTTCGCCGCAAACGTCCCGTCGAATTCACACACGGGGGCGACGGAGACCGTGCTGAGCGCGTAGGGATGGCCGCAAGCGCTGTGCCCGTCTAGCTGAACCTGACCGCAAGCGGCCCCCGCCCCCGAGTAGGGATGGCCCGCGCCGCGCGCGAGGAGCTTTAGCCGATAGAACTGCGTGGGTGGGCTCTGACGCACATCACCGCGTGCCCCCGTGTCTGTCCTCGTCGAGTGACGTGACGTGACCGCAGTGACGGCAGCGACTGCCCTCCGCATGTGCCTCTCTGGAGAAGTTTCTTGCCCCGGACCTCACCTCACCATCTCAACCCCACTCTCCCCCCCGCGCGCTCCCTCCGCCCTGCTCTCCCTACCGCTCTTTTTTTCCTCGCCCTCCCTCTCCCCTCCCCTTCCCCCTCCCCGTCTCCCTGTCCCCCCTTCCCCTTGTCCCCCCCACCCCCAGACGCTAGAGACGGCGTTCAAGAAGCAGACGGTGGGGCTCGTGACGCGCGAGCAGTTCGTTGAGAAGGTGCGCGGGGGAGGGGTGAGGGGGGAGGGGTGAGGGGGGAGGGGTGAGGGGGGAGAGGGGGGGGGGAGGGAGAAGGGCTTGGCGGGCCATGGGGAATGGGGAGGGCAGGCATGGGGAGGCATGGGGGTGCATGGGGGGGGGAGAGATGGGGGTATCTAGTTAGGCAAGGTGGTTACGGTGGAAACTAGGAGGACGGGAGGGTGTGGTGTGGGGAAACCAGGCAGAGCGTGCGTGGGTAGGGGTGTTCGTGTGCTGTGTGTTTGAGACCGCTGTGAGGGCTATGTAATGTGCTGGGCGTTCACTGCACCACTCGTTGCTGTGAATCGATCTGGCTCGTTTGACCCATGTTCCTCATATGGCATGGCATGGCATGGCATGATGGCCTGATGGCATGGCATGATGGTATGGCGGGGAGCAGAGGGCAACGCTGAGGAGCAAGATGGAGGAGGAGGAGCGAGAGGCCAAGCAGCGCCACGCAGACGAGTGAGTGGGGATGGGGGAAAAGTGGGGCATGTGAGTGGGGTGGGGGGGGAGCGAGCTGGGCGCTGGGGTGGTGAGTGGGGCGATGAAGGGGGAGGGATTGGAGGGGGTGTGGGATGGATGGCGTGAATGCGAGCAACTCACATGCCATGCGCGCCTGTGAGCTTCTTTTGACATTGCATGTCAACCTTGCTCTCTCCCTTACCTTGCACACATGCCTATACTTCCTCTCTCATCCCGCCCGCTTCTCCCCACCATCCTCCCCATCCTGCCTGTGTCACCATCACCGCACCCCACCCCACCCCACCCCACCGTGCGAATCCACCCATGTGCGCCATGCCATGCCTCCATCACACGCAGCGAGGAGGAGAAGCAGATGGAGAAGCGGCGGCGGCGCAGAGCAGCAGCGCCCACGGCCAAGCTCTCGTTCCTCGACGACCTGCAGGACGAGGAGGAGGAGGAGGATGGGGAGGAGGACGGGGAGGGTGGGGAACAAGAGGCAAGAGGTAAGAGAGGGTTGCGAGGAGATGTCTGTTGGGGAGTGGGAGGAGCAGAGCAGCAGCGCCCACGGCCAAGCTCTCGTTCCTGGATGACCTGCAGGACGAGGAGGAGGAGGGGGAGGGGGAGGACGGGGATGGGGATGGGGAGAAGGAGAAGGGGAGGGAGCAGGAGGATAGAGGTACGAGAGGGGTTTGAGTGATTTCGAGTGGGTGTGGGAGGAGCAATGGAAGAGGGCACGCTGTGTGGTGATTGCTCCTCACTTCCCACACGATGCTCTCCTTTTGAACGATCCCGCTTCGCCCCTCTCCCCCTTCTTTCCCCTCTCCCCCATCTTTCTCCTATCCCCCTTCTTTCCCCTCTCCCCCATCTTTCTCCTTTCCCCTCTCCCACCTCTCGCGCCTCCTCCCCCTCCTTTCCCCTCTCACCCTTTTCGACCCTCTCCCCGTTACCTCTCTCCCTTTTCCCTCTCGCCCCTCTTCCCATGCCTCGGCAGCAGCAGGGAACGGGGCGAGCAGGGGCGGCGGGGGGGCAGCAGGGGAGGTGCGGAAGAAGGCGAGGATGAGCAAGTTCGGCAAGAACCCTTCCGTTGAGACCGGCTTCCTGCCCGACAGGTGCGGTGCGCGCAGAGGGGAAGGCGGAGGAGAGGGCAGTGAGGGGGCGCGGTTGCCGAGCAGGAGGGTGGTCCTTGCCTATGAGGTGGTGACAGGAGGGCTCGGCAAGGACCCCTTCGTTGAGACCAGCTTCCTGTTGGAGGAGTGAGGGTCGATGGGATGGTAGAGGGGAGGGAGGGGACGGCAGAGGTGGGGGCAGAGAGGGGGGGCAGTGGTGAGTGCAGGGGTGAGGGCAGTGGTGAGTGCAGGGGTGAGGGCAGTGGTGAGTGCAGGGGTGAGGGCAGTGGTGAGTGCAGGGGTGAGGGCAGTGGTGAGTGCAGGGGTGGGGGCAGTGGTGAGTGCAGGGGTGAGGGCAGTGGTGAGTGCAGGGGTGGGGGCAGTGGTGAGTGCAGGGGTGGGGGCAGTGGTGAGTGCAGGGGTGGGGGCAGGGAGGAGGGCAGGGGGAAGGGCAAAGGTGGGCTGTCAGATGTACTTAGTACAGCGATGGTTACCGGATGACAGGTGGTTACTGAACGGCTGCTCATTACTGACCAGCTGCTTGTTGGATAGATAGGAAGCAACTGCTGTTTGTGTCTGTGGAAGTAACTCGTTCCTCTTCTGCTGCCCTGCTCTCCGCGCAGACACGTGGTGGTCGAGTTTTGAGACGTCTCAGCACACGGGTGCAATGCCTCTTTACCCACTACACACATGCCCTTCTTCTAGCCTCTCCCCCCTGCCCCACCTCCCTTCTCCCCCCTGCCCCCCCTGCCCCACCTCCCTTCTCCCCCCTGCCCCACCTCCCTTCTCCCCCCTGCCCCACCTCCCTTCTCCCCCCTGCCCCACCTCCCTTCTCCCCCCTGCCCCACCTCCCTTCTCCCCCCTGCCCCACCTCCCTTCTCCCCCCTGCCCCACTGACCCGCCCTCCTCCCCTGCGCCCACCACTTTCTCCTGTGACATGACGTCTCCCGACCGCCCTGCTCGCCGCACAGGGACCGAGAGGCACAGGAGACAGCAGAGAGGGAGCGACTGGCGAAGCAGTGGATGGCGGAGCAGGAGCGGATAAAGAGTGAGTCTATATGGGGGATACAATCAGGTCTGTATCTGGGATACGGGTGGCTTTATACAGGGGATGAGTGAAAATGAAGAGGGATATAGAGGGAGTCCATAATAACTTAGGGACGTCTCATAAAGGTAAATGATAAGGTCAAGTATGTATAGGGATGACGAGTGCCTATTTGGGGGATAACGGGTGACTCTTTTACGCTGCTTTGTGCTAGACAGGGCGGTTGCAGGGGGTTCCATTGCACTCCAGAGGTTTGGAGATGTCTCAACTCTACTGCAGCTGGTAATCGTACCACAGGGCGAAGCTGCATTTCACCATCCTCCCTCTGCGTCATCTCATCCCCATGCCCCCCCTTCCCCTACCTACCCCCTTTCCAACCCATCGACCAATCAGACGAGCCGTTGGAGATCACATACAGTTTCTGGGATGGAGCGGGGCACAGGCGAGTGATCAAGGTGAGGCAAGGGCGCTGCATGCGGTTGGTTGTATGTTACCTCGTGCGGTTACCACATGCAGTTACTATGCGTGGTTACCATGGGTGGTGCATGTGTGTTGCCTCTTTTATGTGGAATGCTTCAGGTTTTCCACATGTGGTTGTCACATGCTTTCACACATGCTCCCTCCTTCCCTCCCCCCCCACCTCTTTCCCCCATCCCACAACTTCTCGCTCCCCCCGTTATCCCCCTGTCCCCCCTTGTCTGCCTTACTTCCCCCCCCCCCCCCCCCAAGCTTCTTAAGATGTCTCGGGCACCAGCTGATTTTTTGCCCCTTTCTAACCCGTTTTCACCCCCCAGGTGCGCAAGGGCGACAGCATAGCGGACTTCCTACGTGCAGTGCAGCAGCAGCTGGCGCCCGACTTCAGGGAGGTGCGGTCGGCGTCCGTGGAGGGGCTCGTGTACATCAAGGAGGATCTCATCATCCCGCATGTGAGTGCCGGGTGCATGTGAGTGCAGGGTGCATGTGAGTGCAGGGTGCATGTGAGTGCAGGGTGCATGTGAGTGCAGGGTGCATGTGAGTGCAGCGCGGGATGTGAGTGCGTGTTGCAGTCCTGGAGGTGCGGTCGGCATCGGTGGAGGGGCTTGTGTACATCAAGGAAGATCTCATCATTCCGCATGTGAGTGCACCGGGGGGTTGGTGTGCAGGGCGCATGTGAGGGCAGAGAGGTTGGCGTGTTGGTGTGGGTGCTGCAATCCTGGAGGTGCAGTCGGCATCGGTGGAGGGGCTTGTGTACATCAAGGAAGATCTCATCATCCCGCATGTGAGTGGACCACGAGGGCCCAAGTGAGTGCAGGCTGCATGTGAGTGCAGCGCGGGATGATGAGTGCAGTGCGGATGTGTGTGGAGGGGCACGGGATGATGCACGTCAAGGAGGATCTCATCGTTCTGCATGCGAGTGCGCGCGTCCTCCATTGTGAGCAAGGCAAGGCTCCCCTGTGGTCCCCCTTTCCTCGACCCCCGCTTCCTTTATCCCCCTTTCTTGACCCCCCTTTTCCCTCCGTGCCCCCCCCCCCCCCCCAGCAATACACGTTCTACGAGCTCATAGTGAACAAGGCGCGCGGGAAGAGTGGTCCGGTGAGGCGCGCACACATGCTGTGTGGGGGGGTGGGGATGCATGTGGGGAAAGGGGGGGGCGTATTCAGGGATGAGTATGGGTATGGGTATGGGTACGGGTACGGGTACGGGTACGGGTACGGGTACGGGAACGGGTACGGGTACGGGTACGGGTACGGGTACGGGTACGGGTACGGGTACAGGTACGGGTACGGGTACGGGTACGGGTACAAGTATGGGTATGGGTATGGGTATGGGTATGGGTATGGATTTGGGTATGGGTATGGGTTTGGGTATGGGTATGGGTTTGGGTATGGGTATGGGTTTGGGCATGGGTATGGGATGAGCAGTGGGAGCATGCAGTGCAGTGCCACTGCTCTCGTGCACAGGCAGGGTAGTGGTGCTCTGCACCTGCCCCTGCCACTCCGCTACCCTCTGCCTCTCACACACCCCTCATGTTTGTCGGCCCCTTGTCGTCTTTCTGTCATCTCTCATTTCTGCTTCGATTCCTCTGTCTATCTCCCTCTCTTGCCGACCCACCTTCCCCTTGCCGTACCCTTACAACACGGTGGGCCACCTCATACAACCCCATGCCACCGCGTGCAACCCCGTGCCACCGTGTGCAACCACACCTGGAGAGCAGCTGTTCCACTTCGACGTGCACGATGACATTCGCACGACAGGAGATGCCACCATTGAGAAGGACGAGGTGTGTTGACGAGGGGGAGAGGAGGTCGAGGTGCGTGCTGGGGCGGGGGGAAAAAGGGGGGAAGGGGTTCATGCTGGGATGAGAGGAGGACCAGGTGCGAGGGGGGGAGACAGGACGGGATGACGTTCGGAAGGAGTGGATGGGTGTTCTAGGAGTAATTTGGAACGAGAATGAACTGTGATGTGAATGGTCATGGCACACCGTAGCAGGTCATGGCACACCGTAGCAGGTCATGGCACACCGTAGCAGGTCATGGCACACCGTAGCAGGTCATGGCACACCGTAGCAGGTCATGGCACACCGTAGCAGGTCATGGCACACCGTAGCAGGTCATGGCACACCGTAGCAGGTCATGGCACACCGTAGCAGGTCATGGCACACCGTAGCAGGTCATGGCACACCGTAGCAGGTCATGGCACACCGTAGCAGGTCATGGCACACCGTAGCAGGTCATGGCACACCGTAGCAGGCATCCGACACGTTTTGCCGTCCTAAGTTTTTGTTTCTTTTGTTACCTCCATCCATTCATGCCCCATCCTCCCCGCTTCCCCTCCCCTCTCCTCCCCCCCCCCTTTCCCTCCGTTCTTCCCCTGCATGCTTCTCCAGTGGCGTATGGGCTTGTCAGGGGAGAAGCACTGGTGCGGCACAAGCATGCACATGTCGTGCTTTGCCACTCATGCCTCGCTTCCTTCCACCCCATTCCTCTCTCTTCCCCCTCCCCCACCCCCTCCCTCCCGTCCCCACAGTCCCACGCAGGCAAGGTGGTGGAGAGGCACTGGTATGACAGGAACGGGCACATCAAATGCATGGCTGCCTCACTTCATTCCACCCTTTTTCTCTCTCCGGCCCCACCCGCACATCTCCCCACCTCCCCTTCCTATCTCTCAGTCGCACGCAGGCAAGGTGGTGGAGAGGCACTGGTACGACAAGAACAAGCACATCTTCCCCGCCTCGCGATGGGAGGTCAGCACCTCCCTTTCCCCTCCGCCTCTGCTGCTGCTGCTCTTGCTGCTTCTTTCTGCCTGCCGCGACGCCTGTCTTGACTGTCGTCTGCCCTACTTCCTCATTCTCCTCGCCCCAGCTCTGCTGCACAATTCCCTTCCTCTCCGCAGGCGTCACTCATCCCGTTCCTCCCCCTTACGTTTCCCCTGACTTGCAGATATACGACCCGGCAAAGAAGTGGGACCGGTACACCATCCACGGCAACTGACACTGTACAGTACACTGTTGGACTTTAAAGGACGATTATAGCGTACAGCGTTCGACTATTGAGTTGCGTGTATAAACACATTCCACAGTATCATTGTTGTAGTAACAACGCGCTCAGGAAGACATGCGATGCGACCAAGCTCTAGCACAGACACCAATCCGATTACCCTCAGGGCTCCACATTGTGAATCCAACCTGGCTTCAAGGCCTATGGCACTGGGGCAAGAGCAGCACGGCAGCAAGCCCCTGGCGGTGCTGATTGAGATGGTACGGTGTACGTGCTCCCAGCATGAGACAGCACCCACACAAGGTAGAGCAGGCAGTGCAGTGTGCCTACGCCTCATGGGAGTTGCAGGGAAGCACGGGAGAGTTGGTGCGTGGGCACCACAATGCGGTTGTGACTTGAGTGAGAGCGGCCCAGCTGTGATAAGCGTGTGTTGGTTGCGACTCCAATGCGGCGGCTACAACTTGAACCGTGCCTTCCTGTCCTGCACTGCTGGCGCTGCTGCCCCTGCCTCTCAAGTCGATTCAAGAGTCGTCCTCGATTGGAGGAAGAAGGCGGTGATGAACCGTGCCTTCCTGTCCCGCACGGCCGCTGATGCTGCTGCCTCCAACTCTCAAGTCCACCCAAAACCCATCTACGACTTGAGGAAAAAAGTGGTGATAAATCTCGCCTTCCTGTCCCGCACTGCTGCTGGCGCTGCTGCCTCTGCCCTCACCCTTTTCCTCGACCCCTCCGTGCCCACTCTCCCCACACCCCTTGCTGCGCCAACACGAGCTGGACCGCTGCTGGCGTGTCGAAGGCAGGATATGGACGAGCCAATGAACTCGCTGCGCAATGACCACAGCACAAGCGGAAAGGCAGACTCATGAATGTACCCACCAAGGGACGACAGGAGAATGTATGTGAATGGACGGACATGCAATGACTCACACAAGCGTCTGTATTAGAGGAAATCACCACGAATGGGCCAACACCTCCTCTCACCGTCCCCTCGCCCTCACCTCATCTTGTCTGATGAGCGCACAGCAGCTGCCACGTCAGCCTGGGTGATGGTCAGGCGGCGGGAGGAGCGAGTGCGGGAGAAGGCGGCAGCAGCGAGGCTCTCGAGGAAGAGGTGGGCGGCGGAGGCCACCAGCTGGGCGGCATCGGACGAAACGTGCCCCACCTCGCCATCCAGGCGCATCATGCGCTTCACATACGCCACCGGCACCTCAACCGCCGTCACAGCTGCCTCCCCTGCTGAAGGTGCATCTGCAGCTGCTACAGCTGCGTCACTGGCTGAAGGCGCCCTTCCCTCCGCTATGCGAGCGTCCCCTGGCGAGGGCATCTCTCCCGCAGCACCACCCTCTCGTGCTTCTTGTGTCTCCCCTTCTCCAGGCGCGGCTCCGGTCACACGTGCTTCCGCTGCTGCAGAAACCTCTGCCCTCTCCGTTCCGCCCTTCGCTCCTGCCGCCGTCTCTGATTGCGCACCGCTTTCCTTCGCTTCCTTCTCCTCGCCCACCACACGCCCATCTGTTTGCGCTCCTCTCCTCCCCTCTCCTGCTACCTCCGCCTCTTCACCTCCCACCTCTCCCCTTCCCTCATCCGCCCCTCCTTCGCCCCTCCGTACGTCCATTCCGCCCGTCATCTCATCGCCAACGCCAACCGTCCCCCCTTCCCTTTGACCGCGAGCTTCTCCATCCCCCTCACGCGCGCCTACCCCCTCCCCCTCCTCCCCCCCTTCCTCCTCCCCTTCCTCCTCTTCCTCCTCCGAGTGAACGCTCGCCTCGTCGTCGTCAGCAACTCTACCGCGCTGTGCCTCATCCAGTTCCTCGTCTTCCTCCTCCTCCTCCCCCTCCTCCTCCTCCTCCTCCTCCTCCTCCTCCTCCTCCTCCTCCTCCTCTTCTTGTTCCGCCGCCAGCTCTTCTTCCGTCTCCTCCCCCGCCGTACCTCCCCGTCTCTCAATCGGCTCCCCCACATCCTCTACGGCGCCTCCTCCACCCTCTATGTCGCCTGCCTCTTCGCCAACGTCGTCCGCATCGCCAACGTCGTCCGCGGACAAATCCGAGTCGCCGTCATCGCCATCGTCGTCGCTGGCGTCGTCGAGATGGTCATTATCGTCCAGATAGGCGTCCGCCATGCTCTCATCTATCAGAGCCACGTGCTCAGTCATTCCGTCCACGTCAGCAGCTTCAGCGCGTTCGTCCATGCGAGCACGTGCATCTACATCCGCACGTTCCTCTGGTTCCTGGCACCGCACGTCGTTAAGTGGTGTCGGATCACCCGCCTCCATTCCTCACAAAACGAGTAATATGAAACGGGCCAGAACCAATTTAATGCTGTTCTAAGCACGTGTACTGGACGAAGCGACTTCGCTTTGTGAGAGCTAAAGGAGTCGCGCCACGAGGACCACTCGTGGACTGCGAATGGAATACGGAGTACGCTTTTGAAATTCAAATCGCAGATTTGCAGCAGGTAAATGGGAGTATCAACGGATAGATATGGGATCAATGAGCTGTAGAGAGGAGGACTTGTTTACACATGCGAAGATAGCACTACTACATTCGGATGGCGTTTTGAGTCATAGCATGTTCTGCGAATACAGGGTCCCGTACAATCTCGTTTCATTCTTGGATGCAGCTTGCGGTTTGAACTGTCTTCCGTGGAGAGAATTCATGAGGTCAGGACGCTTCGAGGTTCAGTTTGACAGGTTAGGACGCGGACACTCGCATCAAGTTCGGCAATCGATCGTGCAAAATCGATCTGCTACCGCACTGGAAACCTGCAAAAAGTTCCCTAAACATTTTAAAACCCGTCAAAAGCCGAACCTACGGGAGGATCAATCGCCAAAATCGGGAGTGCCTGCGTCCTTACCAGCCTGAAAGACGCTGCACCGTAAATAACCGACTTAAACACCTCTATAATTTACCTGAAACTGCTGAACTTCCATGGAACGCCTCGACACGATCGAGAACATTTGCGCTCAACTTCAATTCCTCGATTTCACCAGCACCACCATCGGGATCATCTCCACCAATCGACATGCAATCCAGCCAGCCAGCCGCACAACTCCCTGCCACCATACGATCACCCGATCGCACACATCCCATCTGCCTCGTCTTGTTCCTCCTCCCATCTAGCTTCCAGACGTTTCTCAGCCATGACACATCCGACAGTGCAAGATAGCTACCTCGCTACCAAGGCAATACCAAGGAGCAGCTCAGCATAATGCTCGCAAACATATGCAGCCAAAACCCGCCAACTGACGACGCGTGTGGTTGAGACTCTTCGGATTTGACTTTACGCGGTCCGTGCACGAGCTGTCGCAGGTTCTTTAGTATTTCAGTATGGTTCGGGGTTGCGAAGGCAATTGGGGTTGTCATCGGACTGCCGCGATGCAGGTTGACAGCCTGTTGATGCAGCAGGACGGAACTCCAGCTGCTGGCGGTACAGTTGCCACAGCGACCATTCTTAAGAACGACGTTCAGTGAAGCTGCTGGTTGTAGAGCCGTTAAACAACTCGTTACAGGACGGCTCGATACACGACGACGCAGATGGCGGAAGACAACGTGAGCAAGGAGGCAGAGGTGAGGAGGCACTTAGCTGAGATGGCGGAGGCAGCAGAGCTGCACGGAAGGCTGGGCGTGGCGGAACTCCCACAGACGGACGAGACTTGCGCGCGCGGCTCTGACTTGCGCAGTTCGCAGGCGCACGATACAGAGGCGGTGGACACTGTAGAATCGCGCGATGCTGACGCGCGCTGCTTAGAAGCACAGGACGCAGAAGTGAGCGATGTGGAAATGAACGCGATGGAGGGAACTGACGTGGTAGCTGGGGACGAGCGGCGAGACGAGCAGCGAGACGAGCAGCGAGACGAGCAGCGAGACGAGCAGCGAGCGTGCGACGAGAACGACACCGACGGAACGATCAGCCGTCGCACTCGCGCGCGGGTGTCGCTGGCGCAGACCCCAATAGAAGAACTGGAGGTGATGCTGGCGCGCGTGGCGCGAGACGCGGAGGAGGATGAGGAGGAAGAGGAGTTTTTGTTTCATGCGGAGGAGGAAGAGGAGGAGTACGAGCGGTTCCTGTCCGCCGTGCTGTTCCCCGACTCGCCTTGCGGTAGTGACCACGAGGGGGAGGAGGGGGAGGGTGAAGGGGAGGGGGAAGGGGAGGGGGGGGAAGGGGAGGATGGGGCGGGGGAAGGGGAGGATGGGGCGGGGGAAGGGGAGGAGGGGGAAGAGAGGGGGCTGGAGGGAAGAAGGGAGAGTGGAGAGGAGGGGGAAGGGGATGAGGTGAGGTCTGGAGGAGAAGCAGGGGATAGCATTGGAAGGGGGCAGGGGACAGAGGAAGCTGTCGATGGAGGAGAAGAGGAGATCGGGGAGAAGGAAAACGGGGAGGAAGAGGAAGAGGAAGCGGGGGAGGGGGAGGGGGATGACGAGGGGGGGGACAAAGAGGAGGTGGAGGATGAAGAGGACGAGGAGGATATGGACTTCAATATCGACGATCTGCTTTTATTGGAGGGCGATGATCTGCTAATGGACGGTGAGGATGAACTGCTGGATCTACAGGACTTTGTTGTGGATGAGGATGATCTGGACGGAGGGCTTTTAGCGGGGCTGGAGGATGAGCGTATAGCGGAGATGCAGGCTCAGGCGGAGGCAGAGGCAGCTGCTGAGGCAGCCGTGAGGGGTGAGGAGGAGGACGAGGAGGAGGGGGAAGGGGAGGGGGGGTGTGAGGCAGAGGGCAGGGGGAGGGGCAAGAGGCGCAAGTGCATCCCTGGGGAGGGGCAGGGGGGGTATTGGGGGCCGAGGGGGGGAGAGATGGGGGGCTTGGAGGAGGGCGAGGAGGGGAAGGGAGGGAAGGGATGGGAGAGAGAGGAGGGGCGGGAGGGAGAGGGGGGAGGGGAGGGGGCGCATGAAGCCGCGGCAGGTGGGCATGGGGCCGAGACTCCTCGGGCCCGCCAGCAGTCCCCTGCTGCCCCCGCTGTCCCCGAGGGTAACGCGCACGAGCCAGCCAATGAGCGGGAACGGGGAGGGGCAGGAGAGATGCGCAGCGAGGGGGTGGGGGTGGGAGGGGGAGCGGGTGTGGAGGTGGGGGTGCGGAGGTCAAAGCGGACCACTGCAGGGGTGTCTAGGAGGAGAGGCAAGGGGAGGGAGGCGGTGAGGAAGGACAGGAAGGGAGAGGTGGAGGGGGAAGGGGAGGGGGAAGCGGGAGGCTCCAAGAGGAGGCGGAGGACGAAGAAGGGGCGAGGCGAGGCAGTGAAGGAAGGGGACGGGGCGATGGGGGGTGGAGGGGAGGCGAGGGAAGAGACAGCAGGTTGCAGAGGCGACAGTGCAGAAGCAGGTGGAGGCAGTGACGGTGCAATTCCTGCCGCTGCTCATCCACGTGCCTTGGTTTCTTCCGCCCATGGCTCGGATGGTGCTGATGGTGGTGCGTCCCTATCACCCCTATCAGGCAGCCCAGCGGGGATGAGTGGCGGGGCGGGCAGTGCCGGGCAGGGCAGGCGGAGGGGATCCTCGGTAGCAGCAGCAGCAGGACCCAGGGCGGCGGGCAGGAAGGGCCGCGCAGGCAGAGCTGCTGCTGCTGCTGCTGCTGGTGCTGCTGGTGCTGGTGGTGGTGTGGGGTCAGAGGGCGCTGCTACTATTGCTGCACACACTAGGAAAGCGGCTGCTGCTGCTTCTCCCGCGGCTCCTGCGGCTGCGACTGCGGCTGGTGCTGCTCCTGTTTCCGTGCCAATGGCCCCGCCTCGCCTACTCCCCATCGCCCCGCTCCCCACCGCGCGCTCCTTTGTGCCTCTCCCTCTGCCGACACACGGCACGTATCCCTTCCATATTCGCCCCGTTGCATGCCTCGCTCCTGTCCCTATCCCCCCCGCGTTCGCGCCACATCAGCGCGCCCAGCTGGCGGCGCTGCTGGCGTGTCACGTCCAGCTGGCAGTGCAGGTGTACGCGGCGTGTGTGCTGGACCCCTCCCGCTGCCAGGTGGCGACGGTGCTCAGGGGCTTGCTCGCACAGCTGGCGCAGTTGGGGGGAGGTGCTACTGGGGGAGGTGCTACTGGGGGAGGTGCTACTGGGGGAGGTGCTACTGGGCGAGGTGTTACTGGGGGAGGTTGTACTGGGGGAGGTCCTACTGCTGGGATAGGTGGCACTAGGTCAAATGATGTGAGCGGAGTGTCGAACAGTGCAACAGCTACTGATGCACCAGGGGTTGTCACACTACCTTCACTTCCCTCGCCTCCCTTGCAGCCCTCGTGCTCTCCTCCCACTCCTCCCCTTCCTCGCCCTCCTATCTCATCTCCTGTGCTGTGCCCGGAAGCTCAGGGCTCTGCTGCTGCCGTGGTCCATACTGGTGCTGTTGCTGTTGCTGCCGCTGCTGGCGGGCGTGAGTCTGCAAGGCCAGTATCGCGCCTGGCAGAAGCGATTCCTAGCCTGGCGCTTCTTCCTTCGTTCCTGCTCTCCATCGACAAAGGTATCGAAATAGGAGCACAGTGCTGTGGCTGGGAGGGCAACCGAGGCATGGGTGGGGAAGGGTTGTGGGTGTGGATAAACAGGAGGGATAGAAGTGTGTGAAAGGCGGCCTGTGCTGTGCACTGTTGGTGCTCTTCGTGTCTGACGCTTGTGTCTGCCTCGTGTGTCTCTCCATTGCAGTTCTTCACGAGCAATCTATGGACCCGCCGCTGAGGACATGTGCCGATGCTGTGGCTGTGGCAGCTGACACGCACCCGCCTGCAGCAGCAGCAGCAGAACAGTCATCATCATTATCAGCAGAAAGAGTAACAACTGTCGAGGCACCAGAAGCGACAGCAGCAGCAGAAGCGACAGCAGCAGCAGCAGCAGCAGCAGCAGCAGCATCAGCAGTAACAGCAACAGCACAGGTGGTTGAATCACAAAGAGTGATGGCAGCCAGTGGTGCTTCTACCCCATCAGTGTCTGCTGCACTCGATACTGGTACAGACATACTTGCGTCTGATAGTCGAGGGAGTGAGAGGCACAGAGCGTGTGGTGGAGGGCATGTTGAAAGAAGCGGTGCTGACGGAGGAGGGAATGGGGGAGAGGAGACACACGGGGAAGGAGTTGAAGTGGAGCTGTTACGGAGAAGGGGGAGTGAGGGTGACGTGGGAAATGGTAGGGATGGTGGAGCAGAGCCGATGGCAAAAGGGAGTGAAGGAAGGGGAAGAGGTGAGAGTTGTGGGAAAGAGTTGAAAGAGGTGGGGGAGGGGAAGGAGGTGGGGAAAAAGAGAGAGGTGGGGGGGCGGATGGAGGCACAGGGCACGTCAAACGAGAGGGTGGGGGAGGGAGATGGGGAGAGGACAGAAAGGGCGGAATCAGAGGGTGGCGAGAGGGAGGTGCGGCGGCAGCGAGATGCAGAGGGTGGTGATAATGAAGGTGCTGTTCAGCGGCAGCGAGATGAAGCGGTTAGTCGAGAGCTTCCTCTGAGAGACGTGGCGGATATGCAGCAGGACGAGCAGACATTGCAGCAGCAGCAGGAGCAGCAGCAGCAGCAGGAAGGGCTGGACGAACAAACACGGCAGCAACAGCAGGAGCAGCAGGAGCAGCAGCAGGAAGAGCAGACACGGGAGCAGCAGCAGGAGCAGCAGCAGGAAGAGCAGACACGGGAGCAGCAGCAGGAGCAGCAGCAGGAAGAGCAGACACGGGAGCAGCAGCAGGAGCAGCAGCAGGAAGAGCAGACACGGGAGCAGCAGCAGGAGCAGCAGCAGGAAGAGCAGACACGGGAGCAGCAGCAGGAGCAGCAGCAGGAAGAGCAGACACGGGAGCAGCAGCAGGAGCAGCAGCAGGAAGAGCAGACACGGGAGCAGCAGCAGGAGCAGCAGCAGGAAGAGCAGACACGGGAGCAGCAGCAGATACAGCAGCAGGAAGAGCAGACACGGGAGCAGCAGCAGGAGCAGCAGCAGGAAGAGCAGACACGGGAGCAGCAGCAGGAGCAGCAGCAGGAAGAGCAGACACGGGAGCAGCAGCAGGAGCAGCAGCAGGAAGAGCAGACACGGGAGCAGCAGCAGATACAGCAGCAGGAAGAGCAGACACGGGAGCAGCAGCAGGAGCAGCAGCAGGAAGAGCAGACACGGGAGCAGCAGCAGATACAGCAGCAGGAAGAGCAGACACGGGAGCAGCAGCAGGAGCAGCAGCAGGAAGAGCAGACACGGGAGCAGCAGCAGGAGCAGCAGCAGGAAGAGCAGACACGGGAGCAGCAGCAGGAGCAGCAGCAGGAAGAGCAGACACGGGAACAGCAGCAGGAGCAGCAGCAGGAAGAGCAGACACGGGAGCAGCAGCAGGAGCAGCAGCAGGAAGAGCAGACACGGGAGCAGCAGCAGATACAGCAGCAGGAAGAGCAGACACGGGAGCAGCAGCAGGAGCAGCAGCAGGAAGAGCAGACACGGGAGCAGCAGCAGATACAGCAGCAGGAAGAGCAGACACGGGAGCAGCAGCAGGAGCAGCAGCAGGAAGAGCAGACACGGGAGCAGCAGCAGATACAGCAGCAGGAAGAGCAGACACGGGAGCAGCAGCAGATACAGCAGCAGGAAGAGCAGACACGGGAGCAGCAGCAGATACAGCAGCAGGAAGAGCAGACACGGGAGCAGCAGCAGATACAGCAGCAGGAAGAGCAGACACGGGAGCAGCAGCAGATACAGCAGCAGGAAGAGCAGACACGGGAGCAGCAGCAGATACAGCAGCAGGAAGAGCAGACACGGGAGCAGCAGCAGATACAGCAGCAGGAAGAGCAGACACGGGAGCAGCAGCAGGAGCAGCAGCAGGAAGAGCAGACACGGGAGCAGCAGCAGATACAGCAGCAGGAAGAGCAGACACGGGAGCAGCAGCAGATACAGCAGCAGGAAGAGCAGACACGGGAGCAGCAGCAGATACAGCAGCAGGAAGAGCAGACACGGGAGCAGCAGCAGATACAGCAGCAGGAAGAGCAGACACGGGAGCAGCAGCAGATACAGCAGCAGGAAGAGCAGACACGGGAGCAGCAGCAGATACAGCAGCAGGAAGAGCAGACACGGGAGCAGCAGCAGATACAGCAGCAGGAAGAGCAGACACGGGAGCAGCAGCAGATACAGCAGCAGGAAGAGCAGACACGGGAGCAGCAGCAGATACAGCAGCAGGAAGAGCAGACACGGGAGCAGCAGCAGATACAGCAGCAGGAAGAGCAGACACGGGAGCAGCAGCAGATACAGCAGCAGGAAGAGCAGACACGGGAGCAGCAGCAGATACAGCAGCAGGAAGAGCAGACACGGGAGCAGCAGCAGATACAGCAGCAGGAAGAGCAGACACGGGAGCAGCAGCAGGAGCAGCAGCAGGAAGAGCAGACACGGGAGCAGCAGCAGATACAGCAGCAGGAAGAGCAGACACGGGAGCAGCAGCAGATACAGCAGCAGGAAGAGCAGACACGGGAGCAGCAGCAGATACAGCAGCAGGAAGAGCAGACACGGGAGCAGCAGCAGATACAGCAGCAGGAAGAGCAGACACGGGAGCAGCAGCAGATACAGCAGCAGGAAGAGCAGACACGGGAGCAGCAGCAGATACAGCAGCAGGAAGAGCAGACACGGGAGCAGCAGCAGATACAGCAGCAGGAAGAGCAGACACGGGAGCAGCAGCAGATACAGCAGCAGGAAGAGCAGACACGGGAGCAGCAGCAGATACAGCAGCAGGAAGAGCAGACACGGGAGCAGCAGCAGATACAGCAGCAGGAAGAGCAGACACGGGAGCAGCAGCAGATACAGCAGCAGGAAGAGCAGACACGGGAGCAGCAGCAGATACAGCAGCAGGAAGAGCAGACACGGGAGCAGCAGCAGATACAGCAGCAGGAAGAGCAGACACGGGAGCAGCAGCAGATACAGCAGCAGGAAGAGCAGACACGGGAGCAGCAGCAGATACAGCAGCAGGAAGAGCAGACACGGGAGCAGCAGCAGATACAGCAGCAGGAAGAGCAGACACGGGAGCAGCAGCAGATACAGCAGCAGGAAGAGCAGACACGGGAGCAGCAGCAGATACAGCAGCAGGAAGAGCAGACACGGGAGCAGCAGCAGATACAGCAGCAGGAAGAGCAGACACGGGAGCAGCAGCAGATACAGCAGCAGGAAGAGCAGACACGGGAGCAGCAGCAGATACAGCAGCAGGAAGAGCAGACACGGGAGCAGCAGCAGATACAGCAGCAGGAAGAGCAGACACGGGAGCAGCAGCAGATACAGCAGCAGGAAGAGCAGACACGGGAGCAGCAGCAGATACAGCAGCAGGAAGAGCAGACACGGGAGCAGCAGCAGATACAGCAGCAGGAAGAGCAGACACGGGAGCAGCAGCAGATACAGCAGCAGGAAGAGCAGACACGGGAGCAGCAGCAGATACAGCAGCAGGAAGAGCAGACACGGGAGCAGCACCAGATACAGCAGCAGGAAGAGCAGACACGGGAGCAGCAGCAGATACAGCAGCAGGAAGAGCAGACACGGGAGCAGCAGCAGATACAGCAGCAGGAAGAGCAGACACGGGAGCAGCACCAGATACAGCAGCAGGAAGAGCAGACACGGGAGCAGCAGCAGATACAGCAGCAGGAAGAGCAGACACGGGAGCAGCAGCAGATACAGCAGCAGGAAGAGCAGACACGGGAGCAGCAGCAGATACAGCAGCAGGAAGAGCAGACACGGGAGCAGCAGCAGATACAGCAGCAGGAAGAGCAGACACGGGAGCAGCAGCAGATACAGCAGCAGGAAGAGCAGACACGGGAGCAGCAGCAGATACAGCAGCAGGAAGAGCAGACACGGGAGCAGCAGCAGATACAGCAGCAGGAAGAGCAGACACGGGAGCAGCAGCAGATACAGCAGCAGGAAGAGCAGACACGGGAGCAGCAGCAGATACAGCAGCAGGAAGAGCAGACACGGGAGCAGCAGCAGATACAGCAGCAGGAAGAGCAGACACGGGAGCAGCAGCAGATACAGCAGCAGGAAGAGCAGACACGGGAGCAGCAGCAGATACAGCAGCAGGAAGAGCAGACACGGGAGCAGCAGCAGATACAGCAGCAGGAAGAGCAGACACGGGAGCAGCAGCAGATACAGCAGCAGGAAGAGCAGACACGGGAGCAGCAGCAGATACAGCAGCAGGAAGAGCAGACACGGGAGCAGCAGCAGATACAGCAGCAGGAAGAGCAGACACGGGAGCAGCAGCAGCAGCAGCAGCAGCAGCAGCAGCAGCAGCAGCAGCAGCAGCAGCAGCAGCAGCAGCAGCAGCAGCAGCAAGTGGGAGGGAGTAAGAGGAAGAGGAAGCGCAGGTGGGTGCCCATGTTCCCCGTGGCACTGCCTCCCGCCCTCCACCCCCTCGCCCCCTCCCGCATGGCCTCTCCCCACAAGGCCCTTCGGTTGCTGCCCACCCAGAGCGTTGCTTCTGGGCGCCGAGCGGAGAAGGAGGGCGAGCAGGGGGGAGGAGGGCAGGAAGAGAAAGAAGGGGAAGATGAAGGGGAGGAAGGCGAACGGGAGGAGGTGGACGAAACGGCGGTGTGGAGGGAGGCGGAGGAGGAGGAGGAGGGGCGGAGGGCGGGGGTGGGCGAGGTGGTGCGGGTACCTGGCGAGGTGGCGGCAGCCCTGCAGCCGCTGGCTGCTGTGCTTGACGCCACGCTCTTCCCCGTGGTGCGCCCGCCCCTGCTGCACCGCACCATCTTCTCCCCTGCAGAGGACTGGTGGGTGGGTGGATGAGTGGGGTGGGGTGGGGGCATGGACGCATGAATGTGTGCATTTGATGGCTTGATGTAGGTCCTTGAGTGGGTGTGTTCATTATGAGTGGTTCCTTATTTTCACATGGCATGTGTTTGTGTTCTTATAACAGGTGCTTGCATGCATACATGATACCATCTGGCTAGCCATGGGGCTAGTGTCTCAGCAGCGACCATTCCTCCCCTCTGCCCCTCACTCTCCCCCCGCCCATCCCCGTGCCCCTCCATACCAGCCTGTTGGCCATGGGCGGGGAGCAGCTAGGCACGGACTGGGAGGCCATCCACCGCCGCTTCCTGCCGGGCAAGACTCCGCACCAGGTGGGCCGTGGATCATGGGCCATGGGGGGTGGGGGGTGGGCTGTGGGCCATTGGTTGTGAGCGGTGGGCGGTGGGCGGTGGGCGGTGGACGGTGGGCGGTGGGCGGTGGGCGGTGGGCGGTGGGCGGTGGGCGGTGGGCGGTGGGCGGTGGGCGGTGGGCGGTGGGGTGTGGGCGGTGGGCGGTGGGCGGTGGGGTGTGGGCGGTGGGTGGTCGGCCGTGTGACTCAAAAGTTCACCATACACAGACAGACGCCGCATTTTGACGAGCTGGTTCGGTGAGCCAGGGAGCCCATCAGAGGGGCGAGGTGAGTGCATGCACAACGTACATGCCTGTCCATGCCCCTGATCGTATCTCTGCTCCTGTATCCATTCCTTCACACTCCCGCTCTCCCCATCCATACGCCCTTGTTGCCTGCGCCTGCGGTGCCCTGTGTTGCCCCCTCTCCCCCCTCCAATCCTGGCCGTCAGATCTCCATCCGGTGGAAGAACCGGTGCTCCTCACGCGTGCCCGACAACCCCATCAAGGTGCGCATGCATGCATGCACTGGCACACGCACAGGCACACCGGGCTGTACACGCACACGCACACAGGGCTGTGAATGCACATGAGCTTTGAGGTCCAGCGAGTTAGGCAGACAGGCAGGCAGGGCAAGCAGCTGAGGTGCATTCGTGCAGATGAAGAGCGTGGTGGATGGATAGTTGTGAAGGCGCCCACCCCACACAGCAGTCAGGCAGTTCATTTGCGCTTGTGCCCATCTTTGTGCGTTGACTTGCATCCACGGTCCACCCATTCTCCAGCAGGCTCCTCTCCATCTGTGTGCTATCTGTGTCCATCTGTGTGCTATATGTGTCCATTGTGTCCGCTTCTGTGCCTTTCTGTGTCCGCTTCTGTGCCTTTCTGTGTCCGCTTCTGTGCCTTTCTGTGTCCGCTTCTGTGCCTTTCTGTGTCCGCTTCTGTGCCTTTCTGTGTCCGCTTCTGTGCCGTTCTGTGTCGGCTTGTGCGCCCCTCCTGCAGCAAGTGTGGCGGCGCAAGACTGCTCCCTTGACCGACCACGAGGTCGACCAAATACAAACGGTGCGTTGGCATAGCATAGTGCAAGGTGACTCCAGCATAACACCATCGTGACACCCCCACTGGTGTGACATGGATATGGATGGATCGCCATGCCAGCATTGGCATGGCATGGCATGGGATGGGATGGGATGCCTGTCACATGCCCTCCATGTGTCCACCATGCACCCACCATGCACCCTGCATGCACCCTCCATGCACCCTCCATGCACCCTCCATGCACCCTCCATGCACCCTCCATGCGCCCTCCATGCACCCTCCATGCGCCCTCCATGCACCCTCCATGCGCCCTCCATGCGCCCTCCATGCACCCTCCATGCGCCCTCCATGCAAATGCCCTCCATGTGTCCACCATGCACCCACCATGCACCCTGCATGCACCCTCCATGCACCCTCCATGCACCCTCCATGCACCCTCCATGCACCCTCCATGCGCCCTCCATGCACCCTCCATGCGCCCTCCATGCACCCTCCATGCGCCCTCCATGCGCCCTCCATGCACCCTCCATGCGCCCTCCATGCACCCTCCATGCGCCCTCCATGCGCCCTCCATGCGCCCTCCATGCACCCTCCATGCGCCCTCCATGCACCCTCCATGCGCCCTCCATGCACCCTCCATGCGCCCTCCATGCGCCCTCCATGCACCCTCCATGCGCCCTCCATGCACCCTCCATGCGCCCTCCATGCGCCCTCCATGCGCCCTCCATGCACCCTCCATGCGCCCTCCATGCACCCTCCATGCGCCCTCCATGCGCCCTCCATGCGCCCTCCATGCGCCCTCCATGCGCCCTCCATGCGCCCTCCATGCGCCCTCCATGCGCCCTCCATGCGCCCTCCATGCGCCCTCCATGCGCCCTCCATGCGCCCGCATGCCTGTCGGAGAAACCTGGCTGTGATGCCCCCCTGCCTCCCTTTCCTCCTCTCATGCTTGTTGATAATTCATCTCCATGCCCATCCACCCCATCCCCACCATTTCCCACATTCCCCCATCCCATGCACCATACCGACCCCATCCGCCCGCACATCACATCAGGCGCTGAACGCGTGGAAGCTGGACTGGCACGCCATGAGCCGCGCTGTGATGCCTCACCGAGACCCCACCCAGCTGCGCCGCCTCTACTCCGATGCTCTAGCTGCCCGCCGCCTTGCGCTTCGGCAGCAGCAACGAGAGCGGGAGGAGCGGATGCAGAGAGAAGAGCAGATGGAGAGAGAAAGGGAGTGGATGGAGAGTCAACAGTTGCTGCAGAGAGAGCAAGCAGTGCAAAGAGAGCAGGAGGAGCAAAGAGAACAAGACATGCAGAGAGAACAAGAAGTGCAAATAGAGCTGGAACTGCAAAGAGAACATGAGTTGCAGGAGCAACAGAGGCGGGTGAATGAGGAGATTAGGGAGGAGGAGCAGAGGAAATTGGAGGGGCTTGGTCAGTTCTCAGGTGAAGGGCACGGAGGTGACAAGCGAGGGGGCGAGAAGGGGGAGGGGGTGGCGAGTAAAGGGAGGAGCAGAGGGCAGGATGGTGGGGGACAGGAGCATGTGGAAGCAGGAGAAGAGCAGAATGCAGGCACACAGTGTGAGGGGGTTCATGTGAGAGAGCAGCCCGCATGGCAGCATGGTCCACGTGGTGACACAAGGGCTGACATGGCAGTCAGTGGTGCCACGTCAGATGCCATCATGCCAAATGCTGCCACACCAAATGCTCCCACACCAGATGAGATCACGGCATACAGCAACACAGGTGGCAGCGAAGGAGGCACTGCAGCATGCCACGTGGCATTCCAGCAGCTCTTTCCCAACCGCCTGCATCTGCTGCAGCCGCCCTTGCAGTCGTGCCCTCCCCAGGTGCCACCTGCCCGCTCTTTCACTGCAGCAAATGCAGCTTCTGCGCTGACTCAGCCGCAATTGACGCTGACTCAGCGAGCTCTGGAAGCAGGGATGGAAGGGCCACGCCCGGGAAGTGGGGAGGTGGCATCCGGGGAAGGTGTATGTGGTGGGGGAGAGGTGAGGGAAAGAGAGGTGAGTGGAGGAGAGGTGAGAGGAAGAGGTGTATCCGTGGCGGAGGGCGAGGAAGGGGCTGTAGGAGGGGCTAGCATGCTTCTGAGATGGTCCCTGCTGCAACCGACAGTGCCACAACCAGCAGTGGTACAAGCAAGACCCTTGCAGCCAATCTCCGGGGGTGCAGGAAGAAAAGGGCAAATGGAAGGGGAGGCGGTGCAGGAGGAGCAAGGAGGAGCTGAGAGCGAGGTGGAAGCAGTCGCGGAAGGAGGGGAGCCAGAGCAGCAGCTAGAGCAGCAGCAGCAGCAGCGTTCACAGCAGCAGCAGCTAGTGCAGCAGCAGCCGCCGTTTGTTCAGTTCCGCGAGCTGCTGCTGCGGGGAGTTGTGACGGGGACGAGTGGTGGTGGGCTCATGGCGCCTGCTGCGACTCTGTCCGATGTGACTGTAGCGAAGGTGACTGCATTGCCCGAGGCAGCAGCACCCGTGGGAGGAGGGAGGGAAGCAAGAGACAGTGTAATAGGAGAAGAGGAAGCACATGCTGCTACAGTTGAGCGCAGCAGTGTAACATCAGAGGCAGCAGAGGTAGCAGAGGCATCAGGGGCATCAGAGGGACGGTTGGAGGTGGCAAGAGCAGTGAGAGAGGAACCAGCAACAGCAGCACGTTGTGAAACAACAGCAGCGCCACAAGCAACAGAAGCAGAAGGAGCAGCAGAGGCAGCAGCAGCAGCAGCAGCAGCAGAAGCAACAGCAGCAGAAGCAGGAGCAGCACAAGCAACAGCAGCAGCAGCAGAGGCAGCAGCAGCATCGGTGGCAGCAGCAGCCCCAGTGGGTCGAGGCATTGACCACCACCACCACCACCCTTCTGCTGTTGACCTGCTAGCTGCTGCTGCTGCCGCCGCTGCTGAGTCGGATGCACTGTGTGCTGAGTCAGAAGCCTTGCGTGCTGAGTCAGATGCCTCGCGTGATGAGTCAGAGACAGTCTGTCTTGTTGATAACGAGGCTTTGTCCACTGAACCACTCGCTGCTGCTGGTGGTGCCGCCAGTGCTGCTGCAGGTTGTGCTGATAATAGTTGTGCTGCTGCTGGTAACCGTGTTGGCAGCAGTAGGCATAGAGATGATGAGGGTGGTGGGTGTGAGGGCACTGGGCAGGGGGCACAGGGAGACCGGTCAGCACGTGCCCCGTCTTGTCACGCTCACGCTGCTGCTCATCGTGATAATGACGCTTCTTCTGCTGCTGCTGCTGCTGCTGCTGCTGCTGCTGCTGCTGCTGCTGCTGCTGGTGCCGCTGACGGTGATGCGGATGCTGCTGATGTTGATGCTGATGCGGATGCTGATGCTGTTGCTGATGATGCTGCTGATAATAATGATGCTGCTGCTGCTGCTGCTGCTGCTGCTTCTGCTGCTGCTGCTGCTGCTGCTGCTGCTGCTGCTGCTGCTGCTGCTGCTGCTGCTGCTGCTGCTGCTGCTGCTACCAGTATTGCTGCTTCTGTTGTACTGCTGCTGCTGATGCTGGTGCTGATGCTACTGTTGATGCTTCTGCAATCGCTGCTAATGCAAAAGCTTATTCCAATGCTCCTAAAGCAGGCATTGGTGCTGCTAATGCTGCTTCTGCTGATGCAGCAGCAGGTGCTGCTGGGTCTACCACCCATCACGCATGCCTCTCTCCCATTGCCGAACCCTCTCCATCACTTCCCTCCCTTGCTTCCCTCTCACCATCGCCTACATCACCTCTTTCCTCCTGCCCCTGCCCACCATCCCCTCCCTCCCCTGCGTCTTCTCGGCCCTCCCATCCCCCTCCATCCCCACCACACTCTCCTCCTCCACCTCAACCTCCCTCACCTCCCCCTCCCTCACCTCTCCCTCCCACTCCTCCTGCATCTGCCTCAGACGACCCGCCTCCCACCATCTTCATCCGGGCAGCCTTTCTCTTGTCGCAACCCCTCTCGTCACAGCCCCTCCCTGCTCACCTCCCTCCCCCTTCCACCTCACCACCACAACCATCACGTCCTCCTCTTCCTGTTCTCCTCTCTCCTACCCCCACAAATACACCTCCCCCGGTTGGCCCTTCGTCTCATCCATCCCAGTCTGCCCCTCTCTCAGATGCACCTCCCTTGGCTGGCCCTGGCCTTCCTCCCTCTGCACTGCTCGCAGCCCTCTCTCTGCCGCTCTCTACCACCTCTGTCCCTGCACAGCGAATGCCCGCCCCGCCCACAGCTGCAGCAATGGACGTGCCTGCAGCAGCACCAGCGCCACCACCACTACTACTGCCAGTGGCAGCAACTGTGGCATCAGCAGCAGCACCACCACCACCATCAGCGTCAGCAGCAGTGCCATCAGCAGCACCAGCAGCACCAGCAGCAGCAGCAGTGGTTTCTGCTGGGCCTGTGGCCCGCACACCAGTGGTTGGTGGGGGGGAAACAGCTCCTGCTGTGCCTCCCGCTGTTGCTATAACTGCAGCGGATAGCAGAGCAGCGGACAGCAGAGCAGCGGACAGCCGAGGCGGAGGGATGGCGGCGCAGGCACACGAGAAGCAGGCGGCGAGCAGAGGAGCAAGAGCTCAGCCGGCGGGCAGTGGAGGAGATGGGGGGGCTGCACCACCCCCGCTGCCAGCAGCTGCTGCAGAAACATGCGGAGCAGCAGAAGCCGCTTCTGGTTTTTCTGAAGCACCAGACAAGGCACCAGCAGCAGCAGGATTAGCAGAAGCAGCAGCGGTAACAGCAGCAGCAGCAACGACAGCAGGCGTCGCAGCAACGGCAGCAGCAGGTGGGGGGTGTAGAGCAAGCAGCGAAGCCCCAGGTGCGGCAGTGCCAGCATCCACAGGGGCACCTGCTGCCAGCCCACTAGATGCAGCGGCAACAAGGGAGGCTGTGAGAGCACGCGGAGGTGCATGCGATGCACGTGGTGCACGTGATGCTCTCACGAGAACCTGTGCTGCTCAACGCCCAGCTGCGGAAGGAAGGGCAGGGCTGTTGGACGCGGGTGAGCGGGCAGGTGCGTTGCAGCACAGCACAGGACTCGCTGCGGCTGGCAAGGGCACTTCGAGGGCACCTGCTGTCACCATCCCTGCTCCTGCTGCTCCTGCTGCTTCTCTGATTGCTGCTCCTGCTGCTGTTCCGGCTTCTGCTCCTGCTGCTGCTCCGGTTGTTGCTCCTGCTGCTCTTGCTGCTGCTGCTCCTGCTGCTACTCTGTTTGCTGCTCCTGCTGCTGCTGCTGCTCCTGCTGCTCCTGCTGCTGCTGCTGCTGCTGCTACTGCTGCTGCTGCTCCTGCTGCTGCTCCGATTGCTGATGCTGCTGCTGCTGCTCCTGCTCCTGCTGCTGCTCCTGCTGCTGCTCCTGTTGCTCCTCCTCCTGCTGCTCCTGCTGCTGCTGCTCCCCCTGCCTCTGTCCCTCCTGTTGCTCCTCCTGCTGCTCCTCCTGCTGCTCCTCCTGTTCCTCCTCCTTCTGCTGCTCCTCCCCCTGCCTCTGCTCCTCCTGCTCCTGCTCCTGCTACTGCCTGCACAGACCCCCTCGCCTTCCTCCCCATCCCTCCTCTCCCCCGCTTCCGCAACTTCCCCCCACTTCCTCTCCCCCTCCGTTCACAATCCCCCACTGCAACCAGGCCCTTCCAACCTTTCACCTACTCTCACTCCCCGCACTCCACCATTCCCCCATCTGCATCTTCTCACTCCCCCTTACGTCCCACCCCTTCCTTCCCCACGCACCCCCATCCTACGCGCCCCCTTCCCCGGTCTGCTTTCCATACCCCGTCCCAGCCCGGCCTTCCCACCGCCTTCCTCCCAGCCACCCCTTTCTCTTTCCCTCGCCCCACGCCTTCTCTCTCCCCTTCCACCGCCCCTCGCCCCACTCCACCCCTCAAACCCACGCCCTGGCCCAGACCCCACATGCCATCCCCACCACAGCCATCACAGCCATCACAGCCATCACATTCACCACAACCCTTGCAACCTCCTTCCAATGCGCCCCCCTCATCCATGCCCCTGCCCCCTCTGCCTTCCTCCACCACCTCTCCCTCTCCTCACCCCTCACCTGCTGCTCTGCCCTCTCCTGCTCCTCACTCCTCTGCTGCCCCACCCCCTGCCGCTGCCGCTGCTGCAGCCCCTGCTACTGCTGCTGCCGACCCTGCTTCTGCCACTGCTACTCCTGCTGCTGCTGATTCCGCAGCGCCTCCCTTCCCGCGTCGCAGGAGGCGCAGGCGGAGGGGCGTGTTTGGGTTGCCGCCCACCCGGGGCTTGGGGGGGATGGGGGGAGGAGCAGGTGCCGTGGGGGAAGGAGGAGCAGGCGGAGGAGGAGGAGGGCGGGGAGCGGGGGGAGGGGCAGGGAAGCCATCAAGGAGCCTGGCGCCGGTGATGCTGCCTGATGGGCGCATCATCCAGCTCTGCCCCTCGCAACTCCCCTCCTCCTCCCCCTTGCACTCCCCCTCCTCCCTCTCGCCGTCCCTCGCACCCTCCCCTGCCACCGCTGCTGCTGCCGCTGCTACCCCTGCTGCCCCCTCCTTTATGCCATACTCTGCGTTCTTTCACCTCTCTCCGTCGTCCTCTACCATACCTTCTGCCATGCCTGCTGCCGTACCTGCCGTCATACCTGCTGCCATGCCTACTGCCATACCTGCTGCCATGTCTGCTGCTGTTAATACTACCTCTGTTCCTTCTGCTGCTAATACTACCACCGTTCCTGCTGCTGCTAATACTACCACTGTTCCTGCTGCTGCTCCTCCCACTGCCACCAGTATTGCAGCCACTGCCGGCACTCCTGCCCCCCATCCCACTGCCCCTCACCCCGCCCACGCTTCTCCTGCTACCCCACGCCCCGCATTGCATAAGAGTGCTGCTTTGGGGAATGCTGTAGCGGGGAGTGCGGTACCAGCGAGTGCTATAGGTGCGCCATCTGTAGCAGCACTAGTCAAACCTTTGAATGGGACTGTAGCCAAGTCAGCACCAGTAGCCACGTCAGCACCAGTAGCCACGTCAGCACTGTTGGGCAATGGAATGAAGGCAGCTAGCAGAGCAGCTGGAGCACCAGAGAGCAGGATGACACCTGTGGCACAGAGAGTGAGACAATATCTTGTGCCACGTGGCAGCAGTGGGGTTATCAGTGCTGATGTGGAGACACGTGGCAGCAGCAGGGCCAACAGTGCTGATGTGCCTATCCCACCTGCTCCTCCCCCTGCCCCTGCTAGTGCTGTCGCTTCTGCTGCTACTGCCGCCACTGCCGTGCCTGCTACTGCTGCTGCTGCGCATGCACCTGCCCCCACGCGCCGTCCACCTTCACCATCTCACCCTGCACCTCCCTCAAACCGCTTCACTCCCAATTCCGCATTCCTTCAATCCCAGCCGTTGGATCTCCAAACCGCCACTGCCCCATCCTCCAGAGCGCTTCCAGGCGCCACAACAACCCTCTCTGCTTCCTCCTCACGCACCCAGTCAAGGCTACAGCCGACCTACAGCCTCACCCACAGTCCAAACCAAAGCTCTTGGCTTGGTTTATCCAAGGCAGGCAGCGGAGGCTCGGCACAGGTGGTTCGGCCTCGCCCCATGCTTCCTGTGCCTGCCCCACCCGCTAACTCCACTCCCGCTGACTCCCTTCCCTCTGGTTCCGCTCCCACTGACTCCATTCACCACCAGCGTCCATCCATCCGGGCCGCCTTCCTTGTTGGCCGCCCACCCGCCGTGTCCCCTGTGTCCTCCGCATCAACTCCTGCTCCTGCTCCTGCTGCTTATGCGGCTGCTGCGTCTTCTGTTGCTGCTACTACAGCCAGCACGGAACGTGCAGCGAAATCGCATGTTGCAGCACCGGCTGCCTCAGCCAGGGGAGCCTTACTTGGACGAGCGTCGCAAGACAGACTGCGAACTCGCGAAGAGCCATTTGAAGCGCGAGGAGGGGGGATCCCTTTAGGTGGAACTGGGATGCGAGCAGGCAGTACTAGGAAGACTGAAGTGAGCAGGCAGGAGGGTGTACGAATCTCGGTAAGCGAATTTGATGCCTTGAGTGTGTGGGATGATGTGAATGAAGGAATGCGGATGTTTATATACGCCATAACGCGCGACGCGGCGGGGAGCAGCGGCGGCTTCAGCTCGACGTCGACAATTATCGAGGCGCCGGGGAGCAAGCAGTAGATTGTTCCGAGAAGTTGCATGTTACCTATGCGGGCTTCAAGGGGAGAGATTATTGGAGGCTGCAGAGCATGTGTGCTGCTCATGACGGCGCGCGGTCCCAAGCCAAGCACAACTCAGGGAGGTCTAGTTCTTTGTCAAGCAGGGGGGCAGCCGTGTGATGCGCTTCTCATGCCGGGATAATTATTGGAAGCTGCAGAGCACATCCGTACGGCTGTCGACGGCGCAACATGCGGTCCCAAGAACGGCTCAGCAACACCTGCTTTGCCCGGCTGGGAGATGCCCGTTCGCCGATACAAGCTGTCGCATGAACACCACGCCTCGCGTATTCCCCTTACCGTATTTCAACAGCTAAGAAGTAGAACCTCATTTCCCTTGCAGAAGTGTTTTTGGGAGAGAAACTTACATTAATTAGCAGCAATAACACATGAATGAGAAACAGATGCCATAGCATCTCAACGGCTATACGTGGTTGTAGAGTGAATCCCACCCCATAACCCAGACAGGGATAGAGTAAACTAAGATGCCGATCAGAAACGACGGCAGAATGGTACTAAGGATGTACACGTACGAGCGCCATGGCGTCCCAAGAGTGTAGTGGAAGTAGAGAATCTCGAGGGAGAACATGGACACTGTGCTGAGCCCTGTGAGGAACCCCAGCTGCACTCCTCCCACAATGACTTGCGAAGCATGTGTCTTGACCTGCAAGTGTGACACAAACGAGAGTGTGAAGATAGGGAGGTGAGGCACCGCATGGGCAAGATTCACCAATCCGAGTCGTTGTGCAGGCATCAAATGAAGATAGGCACACGTAGTTCTTCCATACCGCGAGATACGCCACGGAAATGGCAGCTTCCAAAGCAGCCGCCCCCACGTTGGCTGTAAGAGTCCCCCACGGCATCCAAGCAGCTGCACCCACACCCTCCTCCCACTTCCCCTTCCCTCCACCCCCGCTCCGGGCCTCTCCACTCGCTCCCTTCCCCCTCCCACTCGCCCCTTGGAACCACAACCCGAGGCCAGCCCCGTTGAGGGGCAGCAGGGACCAGCGCAGGCACGTGCCGAGGGGGGCGAGCGCACAGGCGAAGCAGAAGGCCTGCAGGCTGGCGCTGTGTGCGGCGGCGAGCACCGCCCCCGTGATGGCCGCCGCCCAGAGGACGAGTGCGCACAGCAGCACGGGGATGAGGTGGCGGCGGGCGGGTGGTGGTGGGGAGATTGTGGGGGAGGGAGGATTGGGAGGAGAGGAGGAGGGAGGTGGAGTTGGGGTGGAGGTTGGAAGGAGAGACGGGGAGGTGGAGGAGGAGTGGGATGAGAGGTGGGAGTGGAGGGAGAGGAGGTTGTGGGCGGTGTCTGCCCCCACAACGACGGAGATGATGGGCAGCACGGACCCTGGTGGGATGGGAGCAGCAGCAGGGGAAGAGCACAGAGAGAAAGGTGAAACTTTCCAGATTCACAAAACCCGTTGCTTTCCTGCACCTGAGTTTTCTCGCCCAAGGAAGTGAGTAAGTGGAATGAGTGGAGTAAGTGGAGTGAGTGAAGTGAGTGAAGTGATTGGGATGAAGTGCTCTCGGAGCTGCAAAGCAAAGCAGCTCAACAAAGTCGCGGATCCAGAACCAAGTAAAGGCCATTCGACGCAGTGTGGACTGACCTGCGAAGTAGCCGAAGAGGGCGCGGACCCAGAGGCCGGCCGTGGCGATGGCGAGCATGCGCTGGTTCCACGTGGCGCAGGTGGAGATGCTGCCGCACAGCCCCACCACCAGCCCTATCGCCAGGTGCCGCGAGTGTGTGAGCAGCGCCGGCAGGAACACCACCCCTAGCATGCCCAGCAGGAAGCAGCCCAGCTGCGGGAGGGCGTGAACGGGAGAGGGAAAGGAAGGAAAGATTGGAGAGAGAGAGAGAGGGAGGGTGGGAGGGAGGGAGGGAGGGAGGGAGGGAGGGAGGGAGGGAGGGAGGGAGGGAGGGAGGGAGGGAGGGAGGGAGGGAGGGAGGGAGGGAGGGAGTGAGGGAGGGAGTTGGAAGAAGTGACAAGAACATCCAATCATACTTGACCCCAAGGACCATCAGAGAGACAAGAGGAAAAGTCCTTGACACTATGTTAGCACGCAGGTCAATGGGTATCGCGCGCTCTCGCACCACGCATCGCACCACGCATCGCACCACGCATCGCACCACGCATCGCATCGCTCACTTCGCTCATCTAGTCGCACATCGCATCGCATCGCATCGCATCGCATCGCATCGCATCGCACCGCAGTCATCCCATCGTGCATCGCCACTGGCGTGCGCCCTTCCTGAGCCACCTTTTGCGGCGCCTAATGCGCGTGGCGGCACTCACTCACCATGTTGGCGGGCAGGTCGATGAAGATGGCCTGCTCGTCGCTCGTCACGTGCGCCACCTCAGGCCCGAACAGCAGGTCCATGCCGTGCTGAATGGCAATCTGGGGGGAGTGGGAGGGGGGTCGGGGAGGGAGGAAGGAAGATGAGAGAGGGAGGAGCAAAGGTATGGTTGGGAGGCTGAGCTGAGGTATGGTTGCAATGGACACTTTTCATTCACTGCCAGACAAGAAGAGAATAGCAAGAGCCACCAAGTCATCCCTGTATTCAGCCTACCTCTGCCATGCAGTAACGAGGATCCATGCGCCACAGCGTGTCATGTCGCTCATGACAGACTGCACAGCGAACGCTGTCCTACCGCGCAACACACTGCTGGTAACATGCCCCACATGCGCCATTCGCTCGCCTCGCAGCGCTACCAATGCGCAATCCACTCACCCCGAGGATGGAGAAAGTGGTCAGATGCGCCACGATGCTCAATCGATCCAAAGCCACCTCCGCCCATCCCGCCAAGCTGCTGCTGCTATCGCCGTGCCTCGAGCTGCTGCCACTGCTGCAGTCACACCCGTTACAGTGACGGCCGGTGCGAGCAGCGCAGGTGGTTGCGTGGCGCGAGCAGCAGGAGCAGAGCAGCTCTCGCACGAACGCGCGGTGGCTGATGTAGCTGTACGCCGTGGTGGATAGCTGGAGAGGGGAAAAGGAGGGAAAGGGGAAAGGGGAGGAGGAACGAGAAGGGGAAAGGGAGAAAGAGGAAGAGGATCGCTCGGTGGCTGATGCAGCAGGAGGCGGGGAAAGCAGGACCGTGGATGGAAGATGCGACGGCGGAGGGGGGTGGGGTGGAACGAGAACGAATGGCGAACGCATGACGCAACTTCGCATCGCACGAGAGGGAACGAAGGACGACGGCGGCCTTGCGCTTTCTCAAAAACCCTGAGAGTTGGTGAACGCACGTCGGCAATGGACGTTCGAGGAAGCTTCGCCACGGGCGGCTTCGGCCCCGCGGCAGCCGATGCGTCGTGCGAAGGCGGCTCGAGAGTGACGCCCACAGAGCAGCCATCGATCTCCGCGGCGTTCCTTGGCGGATCATCCAACGGCTGCGGTCGCGCGCGCGGTGAATCCGCACCCGCGGACGCGGCAACAGTGGGGAGCCGCGCGCTTCGAGGCGAGTCAGAACTGCCTGATGCTCTGCCTGCTCCTGCATCCGCCGCGTCTCGCGGCGTCTCGCAATCTGATGAAACCGCGGGTTCGAGATCCGGCGTCCGAGCGTGAGACGATTCGCCGTCTCTCGCGCCGCCGTCTGTTGCGCCGCCGCCGGCGCCAGCATGCCTCGCGACATCCCTCGCGGCCACGGCGCGCATGACGGGAATGCAGCCGCAAGTGGCGGCGTCTGAATCGGCGCGGCCCAACAAGCTCTGCCCATCGTCGTGTTCTCTCAGCTCGTCCGCCCCGTCGCTCCTTTGTCGGTCCACCATTTGAAACCCCAAGCAGTCACACGGCGTACAGTCACAAGCTAGTACCCTTGGCGTGCTCGAGGCGTGCTTTGCTGGCAGGTCATTCAATGCGGCGTCGCAGCGCGATTCGCAGCGAAGGTGGAGGGTTTCAAGGACCAAGTGTCGTGGAAATGCGGCCGAAGAGATGCAATTACAGTAAGCTACACGAGAATGTTCAAGCGAGAGACGCGTGCTCCGGAGCGGAGCGGGAGGACAGTATCGATACGATAGTGCGCATTGGGTTCGTTACTATGACGCGGTGACGGAAAGCAGAGCGTAGGATGGATCCTGTAGTTAGCGAAAACCGTCGGCAACGTCGCAGTTGGAAGGGTTGCGAGGAAGAGGTGTGGTTTTCAGAAACAAACGTGGAGCAGGACCAGGCAGAAACAAAAGGCAGCAGCTGGTGTAGGGTTTGGTGTGTTCCATTCCAATAGAAATTCAGTTGTGTGCTTTCCGACACGAGTGAAAACACCCGACACAGTCAAATTTTTGATAATTTTGTTGCCCGAATGAGTAATCCCCGTAGGTTCTAAAACCCGGGAATGAGATACACTATGCTGCCAGATGCGCTGTCTTTTTGTTTTGGGCTGAATTGGAGTTTTTGGTGGGGTTGATAGGCTTGTCCGAGGAGTAGCCGAAAACGCACCTGGACGGAAGGGAGGATGTGGGGATATCTCTGCATGCAGGTGTCCGTTCGTTTCGTTCGTGCGGGGCGGACGAAATGCTGGGCTGAGGGAAGGCTCGGCTGGTGGCCGTTTGGGTTGGTGCAGGTGGAGGTGAAGCATGTGAGCTTCATTCCATGCCTCGTCCGCGTTGCATGGAATTAGGGTTTGCATTTACTGTGAGAACCTCGTAGGGAGTGTACACTCCATCGTTATTTATGGTTCCGGTATTCGATATATTTATACGGCCTCGTCCTTGCATCAACATAGTAATGACAAGAGTGGCATTTAAAAGTGCCACGCTTCAACTATCGAACCCTTGATTTACGCCGGAATGAGGACGACGATGTTGGTGATGAGAGTGGGAAAAGAAAGGGCAATCGGAGGGTGATTCGAGGCGAAAAGAGGGCAACGTGATGGGTGATGGGAAGTGGGAGAGAAAGGGTGGTGGGATGGTTATTCGTGGCGAAGCAAGGGTGACGAGGTGGGTGATGGGAGGGGGTGGAGGGGAAGGGCGATATGAGGGTGATTCGAGGCGAGCGCGAGAGCAACGATGTGAGTGGCAGGAGGTGCTAGAGTTAGGATCTCGTATAGGATATGATTGCTTTAGAGGGTTTGGTTGATAGAAGGGGGTGCGAGAGGGTGACAGAGAAGGTGGCATGAAAGACGAGGGGAGAAAGGGACACCGATCATGCAGGGAGCCGGCACCATGTATGAATTCCGACCTGGCATGCTTGACTAGAACCTTGACCACGAGTAGATCGAGTAGATCTCGGATGTCATTTGGCATGATCCATACTGAGACATTAACGCTTGCTGCGTGCTCCACCAGGAACTGTTACTCGGTGAGGGTCAGAGGGTTCGGCTGAGTAGTAAGTCTCATCAATAGTGGGCCCAGCAGCGTCCTCGAAATGGCGTGACAACTTTGCTCGTTCCAACAGCGTGTACTATGGTGTGATTGATCGTTCACCAACTGCGTTGCTCGTAGAGATAGGGCCTCGGCTTAGGTCTTCGTAGGATGTTGAATTTCTCCGCGAGGGCGCGGATTTCATTGAAGTTCAAAACGCCGAGTAGGATGTAGTCGACATGTTTGCACAACGCAAGAAAACCGCAGGTTTCTGACTTCAATCTCTCCCTCCGCTTCGTGGATGTAGTCGACTTTTTTGCACAACGCAAGTAAATCGCAGGTATAGTCTTAAGCTGACCCGAGCTGTCGCCAGGTGCGCAGCTTGACGCTCCAAAATCCGAGCCCCGATCGGCTCGAAACGCCCGTGAAGTACCGCGCACAACGCATCACAATTAGGTGGCCTCACAAAAAGACGAACTCCACGAAACAGCTAGCCCAGAAGGCCCTCCCCCTTTGCGGAAATGGCTCATATTCGCTCGGCGAGGAAATGATCACTCGCCACCAGTCCGTGGCGGGCCCACGTAGCAGAGCAACAGGGTACCATATCTACGTCGCGTCCAACGTTATGTAGTTTGCATCGAAGAAAACGTTCATCGTGAACACCCACAACCAAACTGTCGGACCTCCGCATTGACATTGATTGAAGCAGGGTGGGCGCTGAGGTTTGAGTGGCATTGGCTGCGCGATGTCGTCGTTGTCGTAATCAGCTGCAATGCTGACACGACGATGACCTTCACGCAACGTGTTCACGACAGAAGTCCCCCTGGGTTGCTCCATGCCCAGATTTCTTGAGTAGCTCCATCGATGGTTGTGACAGAGCGTTGTCGCACACTCTTGTGCCATGATGTCTTTGATGGTACACCATTGAGTGTTGAAGTGGCTCATGCTCATCTCTCAATGTCACAATTTTGAACGCGCTCTCATGCTATGGTCAAGTTAATTCGTCGAGGCGGTCCTCAGCCAGTTCCTCGAGTACGATGCGTTCAGCCATGGAGAGAGGTGTCGAGGAATCTCATCGGCAGTCTCAGTCGTGGCTGTGAGTGCTTGCACGCTACTTGGTATTGGGCATTAAGGGGCGTCCACCCCCTCCAGAATTTTGAATGTAGCAAAAGCGTCGTGTGTGCGCTGCGGCCAGAAAAGGAACGTGGCTCTAGATACCAAGTGTTCAGAGTGCAATTGAGTGAGGAAACGATGATCGCACTATCGAAGCAATTGAATTACATGAGAAAGGCATGAGAAAATGTTATACTGAAACACGGGGTAATAATAACACGCGATAAGGTGGGGTGGCCTAACGCTGGGTTTGGAAATTGTCCGAGGTGTAGGCTGAGAAACTGAACGAGAATGAATTGACTAAGGGAAAGTTGGGTACAAATGCAAACCCTAGACAACTGTACCCTATATGTGCTACCCCACTATAGCCTACAGTAGCTATGTCATATAAATCTGACACACCCCCATAGGCAAAGTGGGGGAGAACAAGGGGTCACAAGACCAGTCAAGCAAAGCAAAGCAAGCTCAGGGTGGATCACAAAGTCACCACACATTCCGAGCACAAGTTCAAGGCCACAAGGCCAGTTCACATGCAGGATTATATATATATATATATAAGGCTAGACAAGCAGGAGCAGGTGTATATATATATGCAACAGTACAAACAAGGTCAAGATGTGAGCAAGTGAGGCAAGGTAGGCACAAGACCCAGCTGAGTACAGAAGCGCTGATGATCACAAGGCGCAAGTGCCTTGGTGAAGATATCAGCAGTGTTGGCCTCAGAGGCCACGTACGCAAGCCGCAGCTGACCACGCTGCTGTAGCTCACGAGCAAGGAAGTAGCGGAGAGCAATGTGCTTCGTTCTGTGCTCCAGTCTCTGCTCTCGACACAAGGCCAGCATGGCCTTGTTGTCTACGTACAGCACTGGAGGAGAACGAGGCGGCTCTCCGAGGTCAGTCAGCAGGTAGGTGAGCCAGCGAAGCTCCTGTGCAGCCATGGCCCCGGCGTAGATCTCAGCCTCACAACTGGAGCCGAGAACAGAAGACGAGCGGGTAGCCCGCCACGAAACAGAGCCGGAACCAAGGCTGAAGGTGTAACCCTGTGACGACCGCTGCGTAGCCTGGTCGTCAGCCCAAGAAGCGTCTGCGTGCCCAGTGAGGACCACTGGACTCTGCCCTCCAAGCACAAGCCCCATGCCCGACGTACTGCACAAGTAGCGCAACACCCTCTTCGCTGCAGCCATGTGCTCCGGTCTGTGTCTCCCAGGAGCAACATAGCGTGCGAGAATGCTAAGAGGGTATGCAAGGTCAGGTCGTGTGCAGGTCATCAGGTACATGAGGCAGCCAACAAGCTCTGGGTATGGGCCACTCGACTCTACGGACTCATCCGAAGGCAGAGCTGAGAGCGAGTGGCGAGTAGGCAGAGGAGTGGCCTGAGGCGAGGAGTACGTGAAGCCGAAGCGCTGAAGGACCTACTGCACCATGTGTGACTGAGTCAGGGTAATGGTGCGGCGTGCTCTGTCCCGGGTGATCTGCAAGCCAAGGTAGCTGCGCAGTTCACCCAGGTCTGTGCACGTGTGTCTCTTCTGCAGCTCCGACTTCACGTGGGCGAGTCCAGCAGTGTCAGCTGTGGCAAAGACCAAGTCGTCGACGTACACGAGGATGTAGAACGGCGGCAAAGAAGTGTCGGTGCGCAGAAACAGCGACGGGTCGGCAGTAGAGGGAGCAAACCCAAGAGCCGCAAGTGTAGTCCTCAGTGTGTCGTGCCACTCACGCGGTGCCTGGCGGAGACCGTAGACTGGCCGCCGGAGGCTCCACTGGGTGCCAGGAGGAAAAGACCCAGTGAAGCCAGGTGGGCGACGCAGCCAGATCTCCTCGTGCAGGCTGCCCTGCAAGAAAGCAGTGCTGAAGTCAAGAGAGTGCAGCTCGTAGTCACGGTGAGCAGCTATGTGCAGCAGTACCCGAAGAGTGGTCATCTTCGGGGTGGGAGAGAAGGTCTGAAAGTAGTCAACTCCCTGCCGCTGACTGAAGCCACGAGCCACGTAACGCGCCTTGAAGACAGGCGGAGAACCCGGCGGCCGCTTCACCCTGAAAATCCACATGCCACTGACGATGTTCGCCCCAAGCGGGGGAACCTCGTCAACGTAGGTGCCTGTGGACTTCCAGGAAGCCATCTCTGTGTCCATAGCTGCCTGCCACTGAGAGGAGTAGGGACCCTCTATCGCCTCCGCGTAAGAGCGCGGAGTCGGGATGTCAAGTGCATCCGGGTCTCCCTCAGGGGTAAGCAGTACGGACACGAGATGAGGTGAAGCAGCAGCCAAACACTGGAACTCCTCCTGCCTATCCTCAAGGACGTCCGTGCCAAGGGCACACTCACCCCCTACGGACGGAGGACAGACAGACTCAGACTCATCGACAAGA